CAAAACTGGCTCTGGTTGAAAACCTTCTTCGTGATGTAGGAGCACAGAATAAACAAATTCAAATAATCACTTTGGTAGACTAACAGTGGCATGCCGATCAAAGATAGAATTGAGCAGCAACAATAATTTGGGACTTTGGTGCCGCCCGGAACCTACCAAAAGCACTGCCGGGGAAGACATCTTCAGTGGCGGCCAAACTTTGACTCTAGTCTAGGCAGATCTGAATTTAATAGCAGAACAAATACTCGAGACAGTTTTTTTTTTTTGAAAACCTCGAGACAGATTTTGGTTGAGAGATTAGATATGTCACCGTCGCCGGACAAACCACCGGCGACGGCGACAACGGAAGCAACAGATTAGAGCAGAATAGGGTTTAGGTTCCCAGGTTGGCTCCGATACCATGTAGAAATATAATTAGATCTAAACTTGAGTGATTTGATTACAAATAGATCTGCCATTTATAATAGCTACGAGACTATGATCTAATTACGAGCCCAACAAGAATGAGCCCGTTAACAACAAACCCTAATGCATTCCCTAACAATTTGACTAAAATCATATTTAAATTATGGCTAAATTTCACTATTTTTCTTCAAATTAATTCATTATATAAGCATAGTTAATTAGTCCTTCCACTCTAAAAAATACATGCGGGAAACATTCTTTTTTAACTTCACACAATTAACTCATATTTCATCTAGGTCCATTTCTACCCACTTATATAATGTCTAAAATTAGCTATATTTTTATACTCCCTCCATCCCAGAGTATTTGTCTACTTTCATTTTACACACCATCCAATACACTTTTTAATCCATTTTATCTTGTAATTTGTATATTAAAAAAATATAGAAATTATATATTAAGAATCTATATGTTAAGACAAATCAAACAAGATCACACATGACTATATTTAGGCTTACACATTGAGAGAATTTGATGAGTCAAAGTGTTTAGATAAACAGTTCCAAAAGTCAAAAATGGACGAATACTCCGAGACGGAGGTAGTATATTGTAAATAGAAACTATTTTGAAAGTATTTTAGGCATTTGAGAAGAGATAGAAGTATTTTATGTGATTACAAAAAACAAAACAAGAACAATGAACTTTTAGGGACGAAATGAGTATATTCATGAAAGAGATACGTCGGCCCGTATGGGTAGTTCAG